AGATCTATGAAAACTTGAAAATCTTGAAAATTGACAGTAAAAAAATGTGTTACAAGATGCACTATTTCTAAAACTTGAAATCCATTTTTTCTCATGTCCATGCATCTCGATGTCGAGATGATCAATTTGATGATATTTGGGCCTCGGCTCTATGTAAACTTTTCCCTTGATTTTATGCCTCACATAAACATTACATCTTTTGACATATTTTTTAGGAAAAATATTCATAATATATATACTTATGTTAGGGTACTCACACTATAGAGTAATTTACCATTGTATTCAACAAAATTTGGACACTTAGGGGTCGTTTGGATACCTGGAAATATATTGCCTATGAAATATATTACTTGCATAATACATTACCTGCAAATGGATTGTTATTGTTCGGGTAGTATTTAGATGCAACCTGGGAAATATATTGTTATTGTTTGGCTATGTCTAGAAAAAATATGGGAAATGCATTACCGACAGTTTACCAGTACATTCCTATAAACTATCATTTCTTTTTTTTGTAATAAAATTTCATTGAAATGTGGAATTAAAGTCATCATCACACCATTCCAAAAATATTTTCTAATAATAACATCATCACAATTCCAAAAAGATTTTCTAATAATAACTTGTACCATTCTAAAGTCATCATGATACAATTTCCTACTAATTTTGCATGCATTTGACACTTACATGGAATCACAGGTCTTCGAACATGATTCGACTTTGGTTTCAACATGATAAGTCATTGGAATAATATAATTGGAATAATATGATTTTATTGTAATAAGTCTTATTTTTATTTATTTTTTATATAAGTCTTTCAAATGTCTCTATATATAATTTCAAATAAACAATAAATTTATGATATCAAATTCAAAATCTTTATAGTAGTTAAAAAATGAGAAGAAGTTTGATTAGTAAACTAGAAGATTTGGTATTTTCAGTAAAAACTTTTGAGGCATTGGAGAAGACTAAAAATGTATCTTATTTCAATTGAGTTTTTACTATTTTTTTATGAGGATTACGTTTTTACTAATCACTTATGAAAATTATGTTGTGTGAAATTTTTTAGGGATAAAGGGATATAAAAATGGATGTGCGAGGAGAGTAGAAATAAATGTGTACAAACACTTCTAAATAGAGTTTAGAGAGAAACTAGAAGAGAAAATAGAAATGGAGGTCAGAGAGAGGGAGAATGGAGAGAGTATGGATGAGTAAAAGAGAGAGGGATAATGGCGGGAGATAGATAATTTTTTTGTAAAAGAGTCGCTTACACACGTAATGGGTTTCACATCTGTTATTTCCATTTTAAATGTATCCAAACATGGTAAATCTTATAAGGAAAATATCTCTATATCCCCTTTTTTAGGTTTCATTTCTAGATAAACCGAAGGTTTTAAAAGATATCTTCTAACCCCGCGACAACTGTAAACTTATTTTTTAACCTAAACAAATGTAAGAAAGACATGATCTTTCTAAACCCAATCATCTCTATTCACTTATATACCCCAAACTTATCTTTTTCTTTCTCTCTCTTCTTGTGTCTCTCACTCTCTCTCTCCTCCCGTGTTTTCCAAATACCTCTCTCTCTCCTCTCGGTTATCTTTCTCGAAAAGTTTGAATGATGGCTTTTAGAAAAAATATGTCTTTTAAGATTTGTTTGGCCTAAAAAAACAGGTTTAAATTAGCTCAGGGGTTGGAAGAAATAAAAACTACAAATTTTATTCCTTAAGATATATTTTAAAACTTTGAGTCTATTGTAAAATGAAACTTAAAAATAGGAAATATGTAGATATTTTCCCAATCTCATGTTACCCAAGTATCACCTTATATGCCCTTGTATTGTATGGACTTTTTTTAGGAAGGATATTTTAGTTTATATATATATATATATATATATTCTAGGAAAAATTCTCATTTATATATTTTTTGGTGGGATTTAAAAAAGGTTATTTGTATTCTGAACTTTATGCTCATTTCCCCATTTTTCAATTTTTTATTTTTCCAAAGTGCTCTTGGTCAAAATGATAGGTTTTTTTGTTTTATTTCTTAGTTTTTGCGTTGAAACTTGGAGTTCCGACTTTAAATTTTGTTAAAAGAGGGTCAAAACATAGAGTTTCGATCTAGACTTAAAAATTTGTATTTTTTTTTTCTTTTGAATTGCAAGGTGCTTCCTTATACCATCGAAGTAAGACACACCTCTAAAATTTGCTCAGAAATGTCATGCCGGTGTTGGACCTTTTTCATCCCTAGTTATAAATTTGGATATTTAAAAAATAATGCAGATAGAGTAGATCAATAAACACTTAAAATCTTGAAAATAGACCGTCCAAATAATTGCTAAAATGTGCATTATTTATTGAACTTGGTGTTCATTTTTTCATGTTCATGCATCTCTTAGTTGAAATGATCAATTGGACGGTTCTTTTACACCATAACACTTTGTTCTCTAGGATTTTTCATCTTATTTCAATAGTATAAGGTTGCAACCTTATATAAACTTTTTCCTTTTTTGAATGGTTGGATGAGATTATCCAACCTTCAAGCTTTGTGGGTGTGGTTTGTATAAGGCTAAGGCCCTAAACAATCAAAGTAAGGCGTACCTTCAAATAATACCGAAATGCATTATTTCATTATTATGAATCTTTGTGATGGCCTTAAAATTTATTTTCATTACCAATTATAAACCTAAAAAATAGTGTAGATTGATCATATCTATGAACGCTTGGAAACTTTGGAAATTAAGGTCAAGATAATACATTACAATATGCACTATTTCCAAGATTTGGAATCTATTTTTTCTCATTTCTATATATCTTGAGGTTAAGATGATCGAATTAAGGGTTTTTCAGCGTCAAAATAATCTATGCTAGTGAATTTCCAATATACGCCTTAATTTGATTGTTTAGGGCTTCACCCTTATATAAACTTTTTTTTTTTTTAAATGACTAGTCCGATCTCCAACTTTCAACTCAGTTATTTATAGTTTTCCACTATTTTTTAAGGGGCGCGGTTTGTATAGAGCCGAGGCTCTAAACAATCAAATTAGAGGCCACCTTCAAATAGTATCGAGATATATGGTTTCAATATTGAAAATCTTTGTGACAGCCTTAAAATATATTTTCACCTTTAATTATAAAATTTAAAACTTCAAAAATAGTGTAGATGGAGTAGATCTATGAAAACTTGAAAAACTTGAAAATTGACGGTAAAAACATGTGCTACAAGATGCATTATTTCCAAAACTTGAAATCAATTTTTTCTCATCTTCATGCATCTTGATGTCGAGATGATCAATTTGAGAATATTTGGACAACAAAACAACCTCTTCTAGTGAAATTTTTGAGGTGAGCACTAATTTGATTGTTTAGGGCATCAGCTCTATATAAATTTTTCCCTTTTTTAAAGGGTGTAGTTTGTATATAGCCAAGGATCTAGACAATCAAATTAGAGCCTACCTTCAAATAGTGTTTGAGAAAAGCGGTTTCAATATTGAAAATCTTTTGTGATAGCCTTAAAATATATTATTAACTTTAATTTTAAAAAATTAAAGCTTCAAAAATAGTATAGATCAAGTAGATCTATGAAATCTTGAAAAACTTGAAAATTGACGGTCCAAAATGCGTTACAAGATGTATTATTTCCAAATCTTGAAATCTATTTTTTTTTTCTCATGGCCTTAGATCTTGATGTCGAGATGATCAATTTGAGGGTATTTGGGCACCAAAACAACCTCTTCTAGTGAAAAATTTGAGCTGGGCTCTAATTTGATTGTTTAGAGCCGGCTCTATATAAACTTTTCCCTTTTTTAAAAGCGTTTTAGAATATGAAGGTTTGGTGTGGTCCAGAAACCTTTAATAATTTTTTTGAGTTTCATTTAATAAAAAAAATAGGTTAGAAATTGGACTTCCAACCAAGAAATAAGAAAAAATAAAAAGAAAATCTCATGGAGGTAATTTGGAAAAAATAAAAAAATTCATAAAAAGCATGTACATGAATTTTTAAAATATAATAGATATTAAAAAAAATAGTATATAATGAGGACATTTACCTTCGGTATAAAGTGGTCACAATTGATTTTGCCTATTGATGTAAAATTATGTTGTTGAATTTATTTTATTGACCAAGGTCAAAGTTAAAAAAAATTCCTTCAACTTTATGACACATCTAAACTATCAAATTTCACGTCCAATGGTTGTAAATAATTATGACAACTCTACACCAAAAATAAATGATCTTATTGTATACCATCTTTATTTTAAATACCACGAAATAAAATAGGTATCTGTAAAAATTTTCTAAATTTTCACGCAAATACGTTGACAGGATGATTTGGTGGAATAAAAATATTCGAATACACAACAAATCTACAAGATTTCAAATCTTTTTTTTAAAAAGGTAGAATTAGATATTATTGGGATCTAGCTGTTAAGTGGTTACCGCTTATTCGAAATATTCAAATACAAGATTCAAAAATTCAAATTATTTATAAAATGAAATCATAAGATGAGAAAATGACAATTACCTTTCAAATCCGAGTGGAGTTCTAGAGAGAGAAAGGGAGAAGAGAGAGAAAGGAGATATTCCGAGACGACTTGGACTTAGAGAGAGAAAGGGAGAAGAGAGAGAAAGGAGTTATTCCGAGACGACTTGGCGCTAGAGAGAGAAAGGGAGAAGAGAGATGGAATATTCCGAGCTGTAGAGAGAGAAAGAGATTGAGTGGAAGCAACAAAGAGAGAGGAGAGAGAAAGAGAGACCACGGGAAAGGGGCTGTAGAGAGAGAAAGGGTTAGACGGCTCTTAATTCCATGGTGCCGCTTAATACTGAGGTGGTTGCAGGTTCGGGCCCAGCAACAAGCACGGACGCGACCACGGACGCCACCACTGCTGCGGCCATGGACGAGGATTCCAAGCCCTCCTGGTTCACCCCCAAAAGGTGTTATTCGTCCCACCTTCTCTTTCTTTTACTTCTCTCTCTTCTTTCTTATCACTGCAATAATTTTCTCTCATGGCTCTTATCTCTGCAATGTTTTTCTTGAGCCATGTTATTCGTACTTCATTGTGGGCGTGAGAAACCACTTTTTATGGGTTGAAATTTGGGGTGCAAAGGGTTACTTTTTGGGAAATTTTGATGGCAATTCACGGGTTTTTGCTTGAGGTTATGAGAATGCAATGGAGCTTGAGATGATTAGTAGTTTTTCGAAGGAAGGGTTCGATCTGGACTATACCCATTTCATGTATTAGATGACTTTTTGTAATTGAGTCGTGAAAATCAACTTCAACCCAAAAAGGACTAGATGCCATTAGAGAAGTGCGGGCAGTGGAAGGAAATTTGTTTATTTATGTTATCTTTGTTTTGGAAAAGGTTTTCATGGAATACGAATGCTTGTTTGTGCCTTTGTGCGTTCTCAATGCTGTAAATTAAATGGGACCTTTTCATAAGTCTTGGTAGGAAAATCCCTATTTAATGTGCCAAAAATTTCTCCTTTGTGTCTCTTTATGTTCTCAAGGTGTAAAAAGATTAGGGTTACTATGTTAGCATTTGGATTTTGAACAGTCTGATAGAAATTCCTCAAACGTTCAATGTTAACTATGGATGGTTGAGGAGTGTTATCCATTCATCAAACGTTGGTGGAGCTTTTCTGATGGACTTTTGAGCTGAGAAATGACAATCCTCAACCATTCATTGTTGACAATAGGTATTGAGGAGTGGCCAGAAGACTATCCGGAACCACTAAATGTATTATGCTGTTCCAAAAGATCTTACACTTTTGTCAGTGAATTGAACATACTACTTATCCTTTAGAAGGTAGTCCTTTGGGAATGAAAATTACAAATATAATTCAATGAATGAAAATTACAAATACTATTCAATACATATCATATATGCATGAACTGATGAACTGTTATTCTGTAACATTATGAAGTACCTCTATACATCACGAGTTTATCCATGAAGAAAGAATGCTTTCTATTGAAATTGTGGTAGTAAATGCTTTTCAAACTTGGCCTTTGAGATTTAATACCGTGTAATCTTCCCTTTGAGAAAGGTTTATTCAACTGCAACGCGCTTCATCCTAACCTGAACAAAGGGTCCTAGTCCTGTGTGTCTCTGGAGGAATATTAAATATCAGAAAGTTGAATCTTAGGATTACTAGCATTCCCTAATTTATAGTACCAAGGTTTAGAAATCTGCTTTTTCATGGTTCTTTAGGTGAGGCCTGTATATTTATCCATTGCACGTCTGATATATATTGCAAGGATAGAATAATAACAAATAAGAATTTAAACACCATCCTGCAATATCAGTCTTTTCCCTTCTAAAAAACTGTATTTATTGGCCCCCAAGGGACACGATGCATAGAACAACTGGAAAAATATGCTTGGGGAGTTTGGGTAATTGAAAATAGGAAAAAAAGCAATGATATTATTGCAATGAACATTTAGTTGTGCCTACCACAATTTGGACAGATGTTTCAGACTCTTCTACTGTAAATTGCTAAAAATTTCTTGCATTTCATGTTGGATCAATGTCTTGCACTTAGTGGAAAATGATACCTTTAGCTGCCTTTGTGAACTTTCTGAGTTGTATTTTGTGGGTCTGTGTTTGAATAAATGATTTATTTTTATTATTTTTGCAGGTTGCTTATAATTTTTTGCATAATAAACATGCTAAACTATGTTGATCGAGGAGCCATAGCAAGCAATGGTGTGAATGGGAGCAGAGTAACATGCACTGAAAGTGGCATATGCACTGGTGGGAGTGGAATTCAGTAAGTGGGATACTTACAGTGTTTCATTAAAGCATGTCAAATAATGTTCAGATTGATCATTCTGGAGTTTACTGTATCCAACATTATGAGGAAAGAAAAATTGTGCTTATTTTTTCGGAGTTTAGGGGGATGCCTAATTTCTGGTTCTGATGAGGACATGCTTGATGTGTTTGAGTGTGTCTGGCTGCACTTGATTTCATCGACCTGCTGATGTACCATCTTTGGTTTGATGTACCTCATTTTTCTCAATGAATTGGATCATATTTACTGTAAATTGAAACATTGAAATGTGAATTTTTGAATAATAAATGCAGGTGTCCTGGTTTAACAATAACTTTGAAGCGCTTGTTTCTTGACTAACTTAATATTTGGAATGCAATTGTTTATTCATGATGTCATCACTTTTTTATTGATTTTTGTAAATTACAGTAAATTTATGGTTCATACATGTTTTATCTGGAGAAGGACTTCACACGGGTCAGAACTTGATTTGATTGGGCTCTTAAGCTTGTCTAGGCATTGAGGATGTTTGGCGACGATCTTGTTCCTATCCTAAATGTCCCACCCATCTGAAGGAGCATGTTTGGGTAGCACCATATGAGCCATTGATGTATAAAGGGCTATGGGCTTTAGTGCTCCCTGATTGTTAAGTCCATTAATTATAGTAAAACTGTAATTTATATAAAACTTCTCCTTGGCACATTCTTTCAGGTAACAAAATATTCTTCACATTTTTATCATTATAAAATTTTAGGAAACTGAAATATCTCACCTTGGTTTGGATTGAATTGTTATTAATATAATATATTGTTGAGAGATGTGGTTTACAGGTATATTGACTGACCACATAAGATACAACTATGCTGGATGTTTTGAATATTGTAATATGAGTATACAGCCTACCTTGTATGACGAAAACTAGCAGGCTTATGTGAGGAGAGTCATATTTGGCCGAAGTTAGTAACCCACTTTCCTGTTCTTTTGAGATGTTCTCGTGATTTATAATACTGTAGATATTTTTTCTATTTAAGAGCATGTCCATGAGCCATGAGGTGATGAAGCAATCTCAATACCATGAAGATACTGATGAGGACACATGCCCCTTATGTGGAAATTACTGTGAAGTTCCTGCTTGAATTTGCATCTAGCATGAAAATTGTCTCCAATAATGTTGGTACCCTAAGTAAGCAGAATGTCACTCCCTCGAGATGTCAAAACAAAGAAAGACCAGTCACAAATGTTGTCTGAGGCAAATTCATGGCACATTATGGCATCATAGTGCATAATTTCTCAAAATTGAGACTTTAAAACTATAATGCACAGACATGTCTACGTGGTTAACCTATCAATACTGATATTTATACTGGATACTGCCAGGAGAGATGTATAACTGGATATTGTTAGGCTACTTGTATGTATATAATGAAATATAATATGAATAAAATATAATATATATTGTGATATGATATGTATATGCATTGATGTGTTGGATGTATATATTTCATATGTTTCCACATTATATAAGCTATAATATATATTTATGGATGTGTTGGATAGGAGACTTGTATCCATCTGTAAATTAGTATCCATATCCATTTCTGTATCTGTATCATGGGTTCTGAAAAATGCTCACTCATATACCCTTTCGCCATATTTGTACCCGTATCTGGGCATCTCAGCCTTAGAGTACCCTACAAAGGTGGCTGATGACAGTAGGAGTCTATGATGTGAAAGTGATTACAAATAGTTTCCCTGTTGTAAATGCCCTTAAAGATGTGGAAATACAAGCATTGTCCATGTGATGCTGATGACGTGGAGATTCATAGGCATTTAAAGGGGATAGTCACTCACGCCTTTCATGTATACCGTTATTTTCATAAATGATATCTGGATATACTCTTATGCTTGAAGCTTACATTTCCACAGTAAACTTACATGTGTAAGCACGGAAAACATCAAATTTGGGAGTTTCTTGATCACTGGCAGTATGAAGGATATGGGTTGTAAATGTGTTCTTGAGAATAAATGTGAATATGTTGGAATCCAAGTAAAATTTTGGTAGAGCAATAGCTGAATGAATTGCCTAAATAGAAGGAATAGATCAATGGAAAATTACGCTTTTGCATTCTTGAATTTATGCAAAATTTTAATTACTTCAGATGGATTTTGAGACTTTATACCACGTGCTTGATTAAAGCATTAATGGAAGACTTTTGTATGATACTACTGGGGGTTTATACTTTAGGGCTAACAATATTAGGTATATAAATCTGTAGAGATTAGTTGTCATCAGGAGGAATTTTCCTAGCTCTCCTAATATGGAGAGATTTCTTTTTCACCACATTTGGAGAGAAGCCTATGGTGAAATAGACCCCCTAGCTAGAGAAGGGGTAGGGGTAGGTGTGGCCTGCATCTTTTTTGGAGATTTTCTTTTCTCCTATTTGATCCTTTTGGTGTTCCTCTGTCTATTTCTGTCTTCTTTTTCTTAATTGTTTTTTCTATTTCTTTCTATAGTAGGTGTTGATCTGTCTATACCCTGGAGTGCCACTTGTTTTGTGTATAGGTATTTTGTAATGTGTCACTACATGTAAAAGTGAAAAAATAAAACTCAATTACCTAGAGGCTTCTTCAAGTATTTTAAAAGTGACAAAATAAAATTCAATTACCTAGAGGCTTTGTCAAGAATTTTAGAAGTTTATTGTTAAATATTCATGGATGTATCATCATTTATAATTTTTCGTAGCTTTTTTTTTTCAGGATTGCAAATGTGGGAAAATTGGATAAGATATGTAGAGTGTATAGATCTAGAGAACTTTTTGTATTGTTTCCCAGACTTTGCGTCCTACATGAGCCAATGGGTTGTGTTGGGTTGCTTTTTAAATGTTATATTAGAATATGACTTCGTTCTTCATGTGTTTAGATGTTGTATAAATAATGCCATGATGTAAATAAAAAATGAGCAACACAAACAAGAAAACGTGCAAGAAATAATGTTATATATATTTAGCAACTCCTCAAAATAAAAAGATCCTTTAATTTGTCCTCCCCCTAAAGGACAAAGGAGTTTTTAGGGCAATTCTAGAGCCCAAACCCCTCGTGAAAAAGAGGAAACATAATATTACAGTCACAAAAAAAAAAAGAAATAATATGAAATGAAAATCACAGAATATGAAACAATGAGTATATGATATCAATGTAATAAAAAAAATCATATAGAACTTCACATAAGAATCAAAAGGTAAGTATATAACATAATTATTAATTGGGAAAATTACATATATATCCTTTATATTTGCTGTTAGTACACAAATACCTTTTAGTTCCCGTTATTACAGATATATTCATTTTTTGAACTTCATAGAACTTTTGTAAAGAAAAAGACAGAACTGCCCATTTTCTCTCTCTATAGTCCAAAGTCTAGTCTATAGAGCGAGAAAAACCCCACCTAGTGCAAAGGAAGACAGTTCAAACAGGGATGAATTGATTTCGCTTTTCTTGCCTAGGTTCTGAGCCTTGCAATTTAGCTGCTTCTATACAAGTGTTTGAATCGCCAGCTTCCAATTCTCTCTCAGAAGCATCATTAACTAAAGGTTTTGAATCCCCAACTTCCAATTCTCTCTTAGTCTTAGAAGCATCATCAATGAAAGGTTTTGAAACCCCAGCTTCCAGTTCTCTCTCATGAATATAAAAAATGGTGGAAACAGTGGGTGAAAACCTCAGATCATTGAGCTTTGAAAACCCCCAAAAGGAAATGGTGGTCTTTTGAAGGTGTTGCAGAGGCGATGGACGCTGATCAGTGGGCTTCAACGGAAGCAGTATAATTGTTGAGTGGTAGTGGTTTAGAGAGAGAAACACGCTCCTGATGTTTTTCCAAGCCATTGACGTTGTTCTTTAAAGCTCCATGTAGGAGTCTGTGTTTCTCTCTGTAAACTTTTGGTCGTTGTTCTCTGTATGAAACTTTTGAAGTTTTCTCTCTCTATAGTAAATTATTTAAAAGCCCTTCCCTTTCTTTTTTTTTTTTTTTTTTTTTTTTTGCTATTTTTGTCTTTCATGCCATGTGGAATGCCCTTAATAAGTCCTTATCATATTTCTATATTTTTTCACTAGTGAAATGCGGGAGATATGATTGAACTCATGCATCATGTAAGGTTAGCTTGTTAGAATAAATGCAAAGCGCATAAATTTAAATATCTATCCGGAATCAATACTGCTTTATATATAAAAAAGAATGATGATATTTTTTATTTCTTTTCAATCTATTCTTATTGTTTATTTGGTCAGTGCAGGGGTGACTTTAAATTAAGCTATTTTGAAGATGGAGTACTATCTTCTGCTTTTATGGTTGGGCTTCTAGTGGCTTCTCCGATCTTCGCATCTTTAGCTAAAACGTAAGTGACCTTTCTGATTGTCTTCACTGCCCGACAGCTTAAGAACTTTTTGGGGGCATCTGACAAATGATTTATCGTTTTTCTTTAACTAACTTCCACAGTACTTTTTTTTCCCAGTATGCACTAATTTCCATTCCCCAGAGGATGATATATTATTCATTTGGAGCGAGTTTATTTTTGTGCAATCCTTATAGTCATTCTGCATAACATAATCTGGAGTGTCTTGTTATCTTCACCAACTATGTTAGTGAGGAGAATACTTAGACCCTATGCTTCACAATTCTGTTCAAGGGCATTCTTTACATCCCTATGTTTTCTGTCTTTTATAGTCAACTATCAAGCCTATGAGGACGCCCATACGAGGCAAAACATATAGCAATATAGAAAAACTCAAATGCTCCTGTACATACATTTGAAAGGGGCTTCCATTCAAGGGAAACGGATCTTGGACATTGTAATGATCTCCAAGTGCCTGGATTCCAGGCGCTGGCTTGATTTGCCTGGGATAGTATACAAAGTTGGCATTGACTCTTGGACTTGTCCTCCCTTGACTACGAGATTGAGTTTGGCTCTTGATAGAGGCTTGGTATGAGGGCCTGCATCAATGCATGGTAGTGCTTATTTATTAAAAACTTTTTTTTTTTTTTTCAACGAGCATTGATATTATCAATTATTAACAACATAGACTGGATATAGTATTTCTAAGAAAAAAACATAGACTGGATATAGTATAACCCACCACAAATTTCATGAGAAGCTGACAATTCAATGAGACCTATTGTGATTCATAGGGGAACTTGTGAATGCTTCATCTGAATCTTCATATGTAATGGAATTTTGAGATGGCACAATCAGTGCATTTTTCACTTTTTAAATTGCAAAAGCAACTGATCTTCTTGCCATGATCATTTTAGCAATAGAATGTAATGAAATTTTAAGATGATACAATCAGTGCATTTTCCACTTTTAAATTGCAAAAGCTACTGCACTTCTTACTGTGATCATTTTAGCAATAAACTGGATTGTTTATTTATATTCTATCTCATTCTCTTGTGTGACTGGGACTAGGGCTTGCCGGGTATCTTGCTGGTGCTCACTGCATACATTTTTTATTTTATTTTATATTCTTGAAATTGCACATGCTGCTTCCGCCTTAGACAAGTTAATAGTGGGCAATATATCTTGCATCTCAAATGTTTTTTGTTCTTTTTTTGTGTTGGAGAGCAAGAGAATTGGATCCACAGTACAGTCGTTGAGGAGCTTGAACCAAGTCTATTGGTAAATTATTTGCATGTTTCTTAGTCACTTAACCCTTTTTTTTGGTGGGGGTGGTCTGCAGGCTTAATCCATTCAGGCTGATTGGGGTTGGCTTGTCCGTTTGGACTGTGGCTACTGCTGGTTGTGGTTTTTCATTCAATTTTTGGTCTATTGCAATTTTTCGTATGTAAGTTTTTTTAATTAGTTGATACAAAGTTTATCTGCATTATCATTGCCAACCCATGTTTTCTACTTGCCAACCCATGCTTTCTACAACCTGTATCATCCATGCTTTCTTCAAACAGTAACACAACTTTAGTTTGATTCTTCCAGGTTGGTTGGTGTTGGTGAGGCATCCTTCATAAGTCTTGCCGCTCCATTCATTGATGACAATGCTCCTGCAGCTCAGGTATTTTCTGTTTGTTTTTTATTTTTTTGAATATCAAAATATAAGATTCATAAAACGTCCTGTTATGGTGTTTTTCAGTGTAACCTGTAGCTTAATTGCTAGTACAGTTTCATTTATAATTGTAACTATAGGTATAAGAAGAAATAGGACATCTAACATGGACTATTTTTTACGGTATCGACTATAATTTCTGGCTCTCTGTGGAATGTCTCTGCCATCTCTTCTTTTATAATTTATGATGTCTTTAAAGTATCGAACATGGTATGGCATCCGTCAATTGGATGGCTACAGCTAGTTGGGCCAAGCGGTGTAGCCCAGCCCTGGCAGCACCTCTAGGTGGGGGAGCTACTGGGGCTTCTTGAATAGATAAGTAGTGGGTGCTTATATCTTTAGTGTAGACTTAAATGAAGCCATTGTTATATGCATGTCAAGAATATGTTTGCTGTGTATTCATTTTATATTCTTGATCGGAGCAAAGTTGGTTTCATTTGTGGTCATGTGAATCTGGTTTCGAACTTATAAAAGCTAACTTGATGCATATTCGTTTACGGGACGTTTAGCAACTAGAAGCTGGAAATGGAAGCTGGAATTTCTACTTCTGAGATCTGATCCTGGGAATTTGATACCTGAAAAGATAAATATTGCGTTTCGCAACCTGTCAAGAAATTTCTAAAACAGTGTTTGGTTGAACCTGGAATTTTGCAAACCTGGAGATCTGGAATAAGATAATTAAATAAGCTTAAGGAAAAATTTCAGAGCATATGCAAAGAGCAAATTAGAATAAAAAAAAGAACAAATTATCGGAGCATACACAAGAGAAAAACTAAATCCATATAATGAAAACATAGGGTTATTGATGATTCAACAAAAAGCCCTACATCTCCAAATTCTTGATCGGCTCTAGAATAAGCAAAAAAATGATTCATATAACAAAATAATTCAATAAGAAGAAAAAAAGAGAGCTAAAATAAAATATATACGTAGGGAAAAAAAGATCATACGAGAAAAGTGCAAAAATATGATCAAATGCAAATGAACAAGTCATACGAGAATAAAAAGGGGAAAAAAAAGAATAGCAAACATCCAATACAAAATAGTTCAGAGATATAAACAAGTGCACTCTTTAAATTTTGAACCTGATTGTTCAGGCTATAGATTTGATGTTAATCTTAACAGATAAAGTAAAAAGTGATGGTCTAGGGTAGACTAGATGTTAACATTACTGGATAATGTGAAAACAAAGGCGAGAAAGTGGAGTTATTAACCAGTAAAAAAACAATGGTGGAAAACCAACATAGAAAAGGAAGAAATGGAAAAGAAACATAATAAAAGACTGTATGATCCATAAAGAACAACAATGATAGGAGAGAAAGTTCAGTAATATAATAAGAAGGAAAGGAAAGAAGAAATTGAGGTGAATAGATGCCTGAAAATTCAAAGAATCAATGACAAAAATTTAGATATTTTTATGAAAAAGATCAGTACAACATGATAGTTGGTCTTACCTATTGCCTACACTTTCTATCTGTCTTCCTATAGTTGCCTTTAGCACTTCGCTTTCTAACTCTGCTTTCAATAGTATAGTACTTTCCTTCAATTTGAAGTATACTGGAGCTTTCTTATCTTCTTTCTTTATCTTCCTCAACCTATAGGTTGAAAGATTTGCTACTACACTAAAAGTAGCTTATAAAATATTTCACTTCAGAAATAGGGGCATTCTTGTGTTGAAGCTAGAGTTGAGGAGTTACAGAGAATCCTCGATGGGAGAGAGAGCCCACCATATCACCAAAGGAGTTAGAGAGAGAAAATGATGAGAGAGAGACATTACCAGACTTAAGGCAATGATCGTCTTTTTAATTGGTAATGGGGAGGGAGAGTGTAGAAGAGGGGGCAATGGATAGGGTTTGGAGAGGGAGGAGAGAGTGGTGTGGCTGTTTTAGAGAGGGAGAAGTTTGCCATTACGTGCCTACTTCCCACATGAATTGGGAAGTTGGGATAAGGGGAATCTCAAATTCTACCCCAACCCTTGGAACTGGGATACCCATTTTATGGGGTACCCAGAGTTCTTATTCTATTTTCTACTGTAGCATCTCATGTTGACAAACGGGGAAGTGGTGCCACAGTGAATTAGAAGTTCCAACTTCACTTGAAACTTCTAGTTGCGTGAATGTTGCATTATTGATTTTTTGGTTCATATGCATTAAATGATCAGGTGTGCATGTAATCTTCCCTGCATCATATATTGTTTGGCTTTTGATATTAGAGAAGCCATGTCTCTTGGAAACATATTAATGAACTTAGCTGTTGTGCTAACAGAAAACGGCATGGCTTTCAGTCTTTTACATGTGTATACCAACTGGAATTGCGCTTGGCTATGTGTATGGGGGTTTGGTAAGTTACACTTCTTACTGGTTGTTTCTGCTTCAATATGATCCCTAGAAACTTCATAATTCATTTTGTTTCTCTGTCAATATCGATCTTATTTTTCTTCCATTTTCTAATATTTTTTCTATGGGTGTGGTTTGCATAAGGTTGCAACCTTAAACAATCCAATTAAGGTAATTTTATCATAAATATAATTTTGATAGTAAAAATTCTTAGGATGGCTTGAGAATCGATTTTTCATCTCTAATTATAAAATTTTAAACTCTAAAAACTGGTTCAAATCATGTAGATCTATAAACCCATGAAAATCTCGGTCCAAATAGCGTGTTGTAAGATAGACTATTTCGTGGCCTTGAAATCTTTTTTTTTTTTTTCATATTCAGGCATCTCGATGTCTAGACAATCAATTAGAGGGTTTTCCAACATCCAAACAACCTTTTATTATGGATTTTTGAGGTGCATCTTTAATTTTATATTTTAAGGTTGCAACCTTATATAAGATTTTCTTTTTTCTATTCAACATATTGATTTAATCTTTGCAATTGTATGTTTATAATGTGAGTATGTGACAACTATGATAGGTTCTCTGATACCTCATTTTGTGCTGCTTGGATTCAAACTCATGTTTGATTCTCTGGTACCTCATTTTGTGCTGCTTGGATTCAAACTCTTGAATCATCTCTAGCTTACTTTCTTTTGCCTTTACTTTTTGAAATGGGGCCTGAAGCCCTTTATTCAACAAGCTTGTATTTAGATAGCACGCCATTATGTCATCATATATAATTTACCTTGCAACTTTATACAGAATACAAATTCTTCTTTCATTGTTAGGTACTCATAATATTATACATCTACCTCTAGCATGGCATTCACAGTGGACCAGTTTTTCATTTGAGCTTATTATTGACAAGCACAATCAACATTCTCCATCATGTTTCTTCTTTCTTTTTATTTTCTCATTTGTGTGAATGGGAAACTGAGTTTCAGAAATGAACCAAATGGTTATATGCACTTCCTTCGTGAACTCATCCATAGTATAGATAAGGCATAAAGAAGTTCCGCACTTAGGATTCTTCAAATTATTATCTTTTGCTCAGTAACTTGTTGGAAAAACAAAACTCTTTTTGCTTATCATTCATAAATATCAGTCTAATATAATTGTTCCACAATGTCTTTCTGATCAACATGTATATAACATGATGGATGGAGTCAAGGTTACAATAGTAAAACCATGTTAGATAAGTTCGAAGTAAAACCATGTTAGATAAGTTCGATTATGAACCCCTTTAGATTGGGAACATGTTTCTTCTCAGTTAGCATTCTTTATTTCTGGTATCATTGTTCCATTTTTCAATGTATCTGTGACTATAATGTTGATATCTGCGAAATTTAGAAATTCAAGAGAGAGTCAGAGAGCCCTTGTAAACATGAGAACCATTTCTTTTCTGGGCGTATTATTAAAAGACAATTCATGGAAGTGCTATTGGAACTGGTCTAATGCTTTAATTGTGAATTCACTCAATGATGGCTTTGTACTTAGTGCCATATGTTTCCTATTGATTATGCATTCTCCATTGCATCTTAGAGGCTACACTATAAGTCAATCATGCGTTTGACTTTCCTTCCTTAAACAAGTGGAAATTAGTAATAGTATTGGGTCTTGTGACCTGCCCATTTGGCATCATGACTCAGGTAACTAGTTGGATTGACAATGCAAGTTCTTGATAAGGCTTTCTTTTTTGACTGATATTTGCATTTTTTTTATTGTTTTATTGTTTTACTCTTGAAATGCTTATTGATAGGTTGGAGATCATTTTAGTTGGCGTGTAGCATTTTGGGGAGAGGCACTTCTTATGGTTCCTTTTGCTATTCTTGGGTTCCTGATAAAGCCTTTGAAATTGAGAGGTGCATAATCAATGATCTGCTCTGTGCAAACTAAGCAACTTTTTGGTCTTCTAATGGAATTTCGTTGCTTGTTTTCTGTGGCTAATACTATCTATGCAGGTTTTGCTTCTTCAAAAACAAGAAAGTCAGCAATTAGGGTACAGATTGATGCTTCAGAAGTTAAAGGTGTTCTATGTGCTTGCTTTTTTTTTTTTATAATTATGTAGCCGTTGCTATTATTGCTAAATTGTAGTTCCATCCTCAAAAGAACATCCTTCATACTTTTTTCCTTGTGAAATAATATCTGATTTTCTCATTAGACAACCAGGTTCTAGAGGGCGCAGATAATCTGCTGAAGGGAAGCGAGTTAAATGATGATATCTCGAAGAAACACTCCATGTGCGTGGGTCTCCGATTTTGAATGTGTGCATGGATATTATATGTAGTATGTAAAGCACATACACGTTTGTCTCTATGTATGGATTTAGATATGTATATTTGATAGGTGTATGTTATTTGTGCATGTATTATGCATGTATACATGTAATGTGTGTTGTGTGTGTGCATTGACTTGAGAGCATGTGCTCATCACATGCTTGCATATTCATTCAATGAGTTTGCTGTTTGGATACATATTCAGCCAATACTTCATTTCAGAGGTCATCTTTTTTCTTATTGTTATATCCTAAATTCCTGTTTCATGTTACATTTTTTTTAAATGGAAGATATAGTAATTGTGCAATGCCTAACTTACGCACCTGTATTTTTATCCTAAAAACGTTTGTGCTCATGTTTCTTCATGTAAATGAGAAACACACTCCTTTTCGTTGAATTACTTAATCTGCTAAGTATTATGTGAGGATTAATGTGCTTATTGTTTTTATATCTGAAAAGAAAATTAGAATCTTGCAGATTACAATGTAACTGCATGTTAGTGAATTGCCCTAATGTCTTTGCAGTTTATATATCAGGTCGAAGGTTTCATTATTCCATCTAGGAGATTCATTTACAGTTTTTTTCCATCACTTCATATGATTTTAGAGCTACTTAATATGGCTAAATCTGGTGTAAGAAACATATAATTTGACAAATTCTAGGGTTTTGAGGTCTTCATAAAAAATACAGATCGAAATCACTGTTACGAGTAGCAACATCTAATAGTATCTTATTCTTCATTGTAATTAGCTTACATCAGCACGGTTCGTAAACTTGGCACATTTGGTCTCATATTGCCCATTAACTCTAGGTCTTCTTAACTCTGTTCTAATTGTCTTTGGCCTTCTTAACTCTGTTCTATTATTCTGACAATGTCAGTTGCATATCAAAGTCAATCCTAGCTTTCTGTGAACACAATTGGCTATCCCTTTTCAAACTACAGCTCTGATTTTGACTTTTCCTGTAAAAATTGTTTTATTTAATTATTTAATTGTATACATAACCATGTTTGCTTTAATATTATGCTTGATTCAACTTCTTCCTTGGCATTGGATTTTCCTCTTCTTATCTACAGTGCGGGAATTTTTCTAATAATTTGCTCCCAAAAAAAATCGGTAATAGAACCCTTATCACCAAAAAATGTTCTAATAATAGAAGCCTTACAACTGAAAATGTTCTGATCACTTGTTGTGATTGCTGTTCTGAAGTTTATTTCATTTGAATGATCTACTTTTGTTGACTGTGATCATGTGAAATCTAATAATACCAATCCTATTGTAAATTCACATCACCTGGCTAATACATTGGCATGGAATTTTTCTTTCTAGATCTGAAGGAAAACCAAAGGTTAGGAATCAATTCTTAAGGTTTTGGGATGATATGAAAGTGCTTCTGTGTGATGTTGTTTATATCACAAATGTTCTAGGTAAATTTTCTGATTTCTTTTATTAAGAAATGCTCTCCGTTTTTGTAGATTTATTTGCTGATCTCTTGTACCCCTTCATTGTGATGGCCTGCATGTTAAAAGGCTGTTTTGTTATCACTAAATCATAGTAACCACTTGATTAGTAATAAAATAATGATGTCCTTTCCTTGGGGTTCCCTTTGGTACATTGTGAATTGGCTTACTTGCAATAATGATGCTGTATTTAATTATTCTTATGTGATTTATATGCTGCATGCGTGGACCTAATTCCAAAGAATATGATTACTATTAAATCTTGCAAAATGCATTAACTAGTCATACATTGGTTGTGAGATGGGTTTGAACTCTCGTGTTACAAACCCATTTTTTATTTCCAATTTCCAGGCATTAGAGCTTGCAGTTGTAGTTAAGAGAAGTGCCTTCCCCAGGGGATGCTCCCAAATCTGGAACATAGTTCCATGTTCTCAGAGCTGATCCTCCTTGGAAGATTGTTCTCGATTATATGGGATCTAGATCCCATTTAAAAAGGACAATGATCCATAATAATTAGATTTATGATTAGATATTTTTTCTTTTTTTCCTTTTTTTTTTAGTGGTATATGTCCATATGATTAGATGAATTGTTAATTATAAAGATGACTATTAGTCTAACTCACTGTTCATGAGGCTATGAGGAGGAAGCTAAGCTATTCCAAGCTGCTCAAGAGACTTTTCAAGGAAAGGAAGTTCAAAGTTTATAGAGAAAATTGATTAGTGGAAAGTGTTTTACAAGGAAAGCCACAAAATTCAAGTGGGCTTTCATTCTCCTGGTATGAGATCTCTCCCATTATAGAATCCACTCCAAAATGTGGATCCTTCAAAAAAATGGGCCCAGAAGAGGAGGAAGATGAGAATAAACCAGAGGCAAATTAGATTTTCTTCTTTCCAAGCAAAGGTTTGCAAGGAGTTGGATATCTCTCTCTAATCCCTCTAAAACGAGAGAGAGAGAGAGAGAGAGAGAGAGAGGAACGAAAACGAAATATAGAAGAAACGTAGTAGGTACGTGTAGGTAGGAAACGAAACGACGCGTCGGACCGAACGTAAACGGTTAAAACGTTTAAGTTAGTTAGT